AGGTCCTATGGCTTCATGATTGCTAGTGTCAAAAAAGTGTAATTATGTTTCTATTGTATTCTAAATAAATGCAAAAAGAACAATTAAGACGATGTAACATACATTTTTGACACTAATGATCACAAGAGGTGCTGCATTAAGAATATGAACATGCACCGTATCTACCTACTTTGGACTTGCACTTGCACAGACATTTATATATATTGATATTCAAATCACCCGTATTTGTATATATGTAAACAGCATCACCCAATTCTTTATAAATCCTTGTGTGAACTCTTACCTGTACTATCATGTGTATCAATATTATTTATGTGTCTGCTAAAACACCTGAGTTTCCCTACGGGGATGAATAGAACTTTATCTTATCTCATCGTATCTTTTGTTTGAAGGATTCTAACTTTATTTATACGAAGCTACAAGCAAAGTATGGCTTTTTGTACATACATTTGTGGCAAGTTATAGACATTTGCTTCATAAAAGGTTAAACCTAAAATTCCAGAAGTTCTGCTATAAAACTTTTTTTGCACAACGGTTTTTTATGCACACTGACAAATGTCCTCTGTTGTTGACAGAGCGCCTCCTGGCAGGCAGAAAGGTGGTACTGCGTCCAGAAAGACTGACCGCAGACTTCCAACAAGTCAATGGCACCCTGCTCACGACGCTTCGCTGGAGGATGTCCCAGCATGCACTTGACCCTGCAACTGTGGAGGGCTTCCAGTTCACCTGGACACTGCAATCAGGGGTTACCACGGCAACAGAGGGGCAGGAGCACACACTTATCTCCCAGACGCAGACAATCGCACCGGTGAGACACAAAGAAAGGGCTACATTGACTGGATTATATATTACCAGCAAGAGGGAAACTCCTTAGAAATATGAAAGGGACATTTCTCCTTATTTCTTTTAATTTTGTATTTAAAGAGATATAATAAGTAAGTAAACAATACACAAATTATGAAAGGAAAAAGCTGATTAAAATACATTTAAAATGGGGAATCATGAGCGTAACAACAAAATGTACATTGTTACAGCAGAGAAGACAGTTCAGATAAAAAAACTATAATTAACATATTTAATTTGAAATAAAAAAAGGGCAAACAAATCCATTAGTACATAATAGAGTCTTGTGATATTCAATATTTTACAATATTTGCGTTATTGTGAAGCATGAATAGTGTATATTTTGTGTGTCTGTGAACTTACCCTGCTTTGCCCTCCACAGTATGAGCGGTCTGTGCCACTTTATAGTCTTCAGGCTGACAGTGTTTACCAGCTGCAGCTCCAGGTGCTAACAGCAGGTGGAAACAAAGGGGCCACAGTCTTCAAGACCATACACACTCCAGCTATCAACGCCACACTCTGATCGGTAATGGTTCTTACCGAGTAACTCACTGCTGTTTTTATCTCTGTTAAAAGCTATATGTAATACATACATTTACTGTTTTCTATAAAAGCATTATAATTGTCATATTTTGTCTTCTTAACCGTACCAATGATCTCTTTCAGGCCCAAACTCTGCAGATGTCATCATCTGCCGCACCAAGCTCTTGAACATCCCCAACATCCACTCCTCTACTGTCTATAGTGCAACATGTTTATCATAGCAGTTCAAGTGCAGACAACACGAGCTGTAAAATATAGAACGCAACTGTGTAAAAGTGATCACTCTCATATAAACCATTGTTCCTACCCTCTTTAATCACAATATCAGGATGGTTGTGAGCTTGTTCTAATGGGAAATAAATCATTCATCTTTTCGTTGAATAATATTTCAGTTGATCCAAAAGACATGGCCTAAATCTTTATTTTTCTGTACAAATTGTAAAGAAATAACTGTACCTGCACATAGTTCCAATATAAAAAGTAAAGACACATCTACCCTAAACAATATTTTCCTATATTTTTATTAAAAATGCAAGCTTTTCAAAAGATTTCCTCTGTCTATATTAATTCAGGACATGTATGTGAAAAGTTAGGTGTTTAGATTTATTTCTCAACATCACTGGAGCCCAATGACACTTAAACACGTAAAGAGAATTATTATGCCTGTTGTTTTTGATCATGCAAGTAGAGAGTGGTATAGCACTGACCTTATGTACAAATGGAAATGTATAGCAACAGACTGACTTTGTTTATGTCAATACATAATCTGCTGCAATAACTTTGAAGCCGAAGTGTCTGAGTGGGTGAGCGTAAACTTTGAATTAAGCTCAAATATATTTTGAATGTTTTTTGTTGGTTAAAAAATAAATAAATAATAAGTTAATGCTGTGGTAGATTTCTTAGTTTTGCAAAAGTCATTGCTATGAAAATGTTGGAAACTACTGGTCTAAAGCAACCAGTTAACATTATGTTAATATTCTCTCTTTTTTACTTTTTTTTTTACATTTTACTGTTGATAATTTTGTACTTCATTTCTTTACTTTTGACTGTTAGTTTTATTTATTGTTTTCCTGTATTTTGTAATTAAAGATTTTCAAGATACAGCGTGTGCTGTGTCAGTGGTCTGGTGGTTAGAAATTGTAATAATGATCTAAGGGATTATACACCATAATAATACTTGTTGTAATATATCATGCATAATAGTTATTCTACAGTAAAGATAAGAATTATCCTTGCTTTTCTTCAAAACCAATAGGATCCTTTATTAACTATGGCAATACAGATTTAGATAGATATTTATCCCAAATTGGGAAATTATTCAATCTACAAGGATTACAAATGTACTTAAAGGTGGGGTAGGTACATTTGAGAAACCTGCTCGAGATACACTTTTTGTTATATTCCATGGAATGCTCTTAACATCCCGATAGCAATGAATATCTTAAGTGCTTTGACAAAAAATCCATAAAAAGATGTCATCTGTGGAAGCCGTAGTACTGTAAAAAGCACGACCAATCATTTTAGCCGGCCCGGCTAAAATAACTGGATGGCCTACCTGCCTGTCAGCCTTCCATCTGTGCACAAATTTATCTCGTGCCCTCATTGGTCATGTGCGCGTTCATGTGTGTTGGAGGAGGGGCTCTGTATTTTCAAATTCTAGCGCACTCAAGCTGGTTTCTCCAAAATGACCTACCCCACCTTTAAACATCGAATAAAATGCAAATAAAATAAAGATAAACATTTAAAAACGGTATCTACATATTCTCAGTAAAAAAAATACATATATTCAGAGGAGTATCTAAACATAAAATATACAGAATATATTTGAATACTCTGTACAGTAGCTTGAAATTAAGAGTAAAATATATCCTGTGATTTGCATGCGGGCTAATGCCAATACAAGCAGACCCGGCGCCAGAACAAATCTGAAGGGAGGGCATAGGATTTTCATGGGAGGGCACACAAAACCGTCACGTGCTGCGGGCCTGCGGCACAATATATATCAAACAGCAAGGCCAACAGCAGTGCGTAAAGACGCACACTTATCGCAAATACATACACAAATAAAGGGCAACATAGAAACCACTTTTGAAACATTGTGTGCGTGGCAGCACAAACACTGGTAAATCACGAGCAAGGCACACTGGTTAAGGATGGCAGCTTCCTCATCGTTGCACTCGGAGAGAAATAGAGACGGACACGATGAACTGTTTAGCCCGCCTTGGGCATGGTTTATTTTTGCTATGCACTGCAGGTGCATCCTTTCACTCAGACGAGCTAACTTAGAACATTATTTGTGGCCAACTCTGCATCTTTGTACTGCAGCGTATACTCAAACAGCGATAGGAAGAGCCCACTGCCTGACTCGGACATGCTGTGGAGTGAATCGTGGTCACCTCTGAGAGGGAGTTGGTTGACGGCTAAAAAAGCTATAATATCAACGACAGCTGACACCTAATAACGGTTCCGTGCCAGCTGATCTGCACCAAAGTATTAATTTCCTTATTTGTTTCCTCGCGTATCTGTCTCTCTCTCCACTGCTCCACAAACTCTCACGTGTTCTTTTGATGCGGCATGCATTAGCAGTCCTTTATCAGTCTGTAATGCGTGTTTCCCGTCGCAAAAACATTTGACAGTAAAAGCCGCATCAGATGAAGACGTACTAGGCTTGTTTGAGACGCGTTGCGGCTCGCCTCGAAAGTAGACGAGAATAGCCGATCGCAGCCGGGGGAGGTCTCAAAAAACTCGCCTGAAGTCGGACAGCTCGGAGTCGGCTTCGTCTTCTTCTTCTTCTTCTTCTCTCCGTTTTTTGGCGGATTGCAAACAACTTTGCATAGTGTCATAGGTCTATGCATGTGCTTGAGTAAAAGTAGAAGTACTCAGATCTTGTACTTGAGTAAAAGTAGAAGTACTCAGATCTTGTACTTTAGTCAAAGTAGAAGTACCAGAGTGTAGGAATACTCTGTTTCAGTAAAAGTCCTGCATTCAAAATGTTCCTCAAGTAAAAGTAGAAAAGTATTCTCATCAAAATATAGTGAAAGTAGCGACAGTAAAAGTAGTCGTTATGCAGATTGGTCCATTTCAGAATAATATATATGATGTGTTTTATAATGATTGATCATTAAAGTGTTCTCAAAGCTGGTAAATGTGCAGCTAGTTTGAATGACTTTGTATACTGCAGGGTAGCTTGTGAATTTACTCCAGGTGGAACTAAAGTCTGATCTAAGTGTTGATTACATTTCACATAATTAATCCAAATCTGTAAAGTTACTAAAGGTTTTAAATACATGTAGTGGAGTAAAAGTGGCTACGCTTTAAACTCTAAAATATAGTTACAGAAAGACAGACAGACAGACATCGAGATAGAAAGACATCGAGACAGACATATACATAGAAAGACAGACATACGGACAGGCTGTCTTCTGTACTTGTATGTATGAATATAATAATATACGTACATTTTGTAACGCAGTCGAAAGGCAAAGACGTAGAACCTTTATTTTGAAGAGTACAGCGCAAGCATAGGGCACACTAGCCAATCAGAAGCAAGGAGGCGCTGGAGACACACCCACTTATGGAAACGAAACATTGAGTAGTATACTTGTTTTAACGAAAAAACGAAAAAACGAGCTGAATTTCCATTTTGGGGCAAAATTGAAAAACCAAAAAACGACCAGTTTCTGCTTTTTTGTTGTTGTTTCAATTAGAACGAAAAAACAAACGGTTAAAACGTACCTTCGTCCCTGGCCCTCCCACGGCGCCGGGCATGGATACAAGTAAATATAAATGGAGAAATGGTCTCTTGTGCAAAATAGAAACCTCATTTTATGTATAGACAGTTGAAGAGGAAGATTTAAATATTGATTAAGCAATTGGAGGGGTTACTTCGGGAGGGGATCCGGAGGCAGCCGAAGATGATCTCGACGCTGTGACGCAATCAAGAAGCGACGACTGCTTGATTTGTTGTTTCTTCAAATCGTGGTCAGACCTTATATCATAGACAAGGTAGAGTATAATGGTCTTTCTTTTCACTTTTCTTCATGCTTTTGGCTTGTGCTTCTTGTCACTTTAAATACAGATCGGCGTCATCACGTGTGTCTTTAGAAGCCTCCAACTTCCTACCGAAAATGGAGGAAATGTGTGAAGTCGCTGCTTTGTGTTTTCGCCTGTGTTTTGGCTGCAGCTAGCTAACTTAGCTAGCTTCCAGTGAATTACTAATGTATGCATCATTTGTTAAATGCAATACTTGAGCTAGTTTAATCATCGGATGGTACATTAGATTATCAAACGGTGTGTTGGAGTGTCCCTGCAGCCCCGTGTTGAACCGCCTGAGCTAACGGAATGTTTGTTTGTATACCTATTAACTGTATTGGTTGTGGTAGTTTTAGCAGACACTTGCAAATATGCTAACCCCTAACAAGGCTGCTTATGGTCAATTTATCTTCATACACCTTCATGTTGCTGCTCAATAATTGATACGTTTGGCTGCTGTTTTGCTAACGGCAGCTACGAGGTTAGCTTCCAAACGAAATAACACCTCTTTGAGAAGTATAGCTTTTTTGACTTGCAGTCTCAGTTAAGTACTTGTTGTGTGTTTGTGAAATAATTGCAAGCTAAAACGACATAATCACATACTGTTTCTGAACAGTTATACACGTGTAATTTAAAGATAATCTTACTGTTGCACAGAGTAACATCAACGTTAGATGTGGGTAATGTAAGGTTGTTACTAAGAATTAAATGTGTATTTTAAATGTGTTATCTATTTTAATATCCATAAGGACATTTGTTAGAACTATTGCTTCTTCAGTTTTGAAATAGGCTCAGAATAAATGACTGTTTTTTTTGTTGCTGATTTATATATACTGAATAGATTCATTTGATTTTATATGAGTCATGCTTTGCACTTTAAAACATCACATATTTGTTTTAGAGAAGCTTGCTAAAATGTCTCTTCACTCTTGTTCTCTCTCCCAGTTTCCTTCCTTTTCTAATAAGAAGACCATGGTGTTATGATTCCAAACAGAGTCCACCTCTCACAGAGGAACAGGTTAATATCTTTCATGTTCGAGTCAATGACCACTATGGTGGAAAAGGCTTGAGGACAACTTTATTCCTACACACCAAAAGTACTTGAAGGAAAACAACCTGGAGGAAAATCAAGGAAGGAACAAACCACAACATCTAAAGTTTAGAGGACCACTGGGAAAGGAGAGGACAGGAGTGCGGAGAGGTTGAGTTGGGGATGGGGTTGAAGAGCCAAAGGAGGACGTCATGGTTCACAGCGGCTCTGCATCCCCAATGACAACATCATCCACTCATTTAACTGTTCCTGCTTCAGCACCTTCTCTGCAAGGAGCTCCACCTCTGGTGCCTCCACCTGGAGATACTACCCATCAAGACCTAACCCAGACTCCTTCCAAACCCCTCCACACAGACCTTTCTTCAAACTCAGAATCAACACAGCCCTCGACTCCAATTCCTGCTGATACCAAGCCCCATGTTGTAATCCCAGCAGAAGCACTTACTACCTTTTCCAGCCCAGCGTCAGCCTGGTCCGCTCAACAGACACCTACCGCCTCTCAGGGCTCAGTTAATGGCCGTACGTCCGGCAGGAAGAGGACCCCTAAAGCCTGTGACTGCTGTGGCCCCAACAGTGCAAGACACAATGCCCATACTTCGGGCAGAGGAAGGGCGAGAGGGAGGGGAAGGGGGCTTAGTAGGGACCTCGGGGACACCCCAAAAAGGAAAGTGGATGGCCAGCTAACAAGGATAAAGTGTTTTGATTTGGCCAAGGAGGCAGTTAAGGAAGCCGAGTGTGACCATGATCGATATGAGAAGGTGCAAAGGACTGTAGTCGTTGCTGATACTGAGTCAGAAGCTCCTGGTGCTCCACCCGTCACAGACTCCCTGCAGGAGGGACCAATAAAGAACTATGTTGCTCTAGAGAAAAAAGATAGGCAGATAAAGGGGGATGTGTTGATAGAAGGGTTAGGTGGGAAAGTAGGCAGTTGTAGCAGGGATGTTGCAATGCTAGGAATGGCAGGCAGGGGATTCCCATTAGTTAGAGGGAGAGGGGCGAGGGGAAGGGCGATGGCTACGTCTGCATCAAAAATGGAAGTAGATGGTGAAAGAAAGTTGGCAGGTTTAAGTGGTGTTGTCATTCATTCAAAAAGCCATGCAATATCTCCAGTCGTTTCAATGCAGAAGCAGGGTCAAAACAATGATTCAGATAGTGTACATGGAGAGCAAACTTGCCCCAGCTCAGTTAATCCTCCCATTGCAAATGGAGACACGGTAAATCTGAGTGACACTGAGGAGGAGACGAAAGAGGGTAACGTGATGACGAGTGTAACGAAAAATGGACTTGAATCTATCGCACTGCTGTCCAGTCCAGGTTCAATGTCAGCATCTCCCAAGGACCTGGACTCTGAGATGCAGGTGGACAAGACACCTGACAGAACTGTACCAGTAACTCAGTCCAATGGAAAAGACGCTTCACCAACAGTGAACCACTGCTCCACACTCATGGAGGTGGATGCTTCTCACCCAGCTCCGGTTGCTCCTTCGTTCCAGGGACCAATCACAGTGTGCAGCATGCAGCACAGCTGGGCATTAAGAGACCACCGGCTGTACTGTAACTCTGAAACCTGGGACAGGGGGGGGGTGGAGGAGGTGTGGGGCAAAGAACCCTCAGAAGGAACCAATGGACAAGTGATAGATGGAGAGAGGAAGAATAAAGAAAGCCTGGAGCAGCTTACGGATATGATCCACGGTAAGATTTGTTCTCATTTTGTTGAAGCGTAGTAGATCATTGATCTTTTTTAATACACAAAGTCTTGGGGATTGCACTTTTCCTGTCAAATGATAATCATAAAAAACATGTGACCTCATCCTTGAAACATACACACAGAATGTTTATGGGGCATTTTCCTAGAAGAACTGCATTTCCTACACACATTGTTTTCATGAAAACAGTGGTCCTCTGCATGTTTTATGAATCAATGGGTATCCAATATTTCTCTTTAACTATTTAAAGACACAATACAAATAATTATTTCTTCCTTGAAATAAAATGTTTTGTGTTCTTTTTCCTACGACAGCATAAATGTTTGTTCGTCATACACTGCAAGGGAATACTGTTTCATTGGTAATCAATGTGCACATACCAGCATTGTGTATGTTTACTCAAGACTAATCCAAAGAAATGTGGGTGTTAAGCTCAGAGAAAACAAAACATGTTGGTGTTGTTAAGCTAGCAGATCATATCTAATCTTTCAGAGTTTCTGGAGAGCTTTTACATGAAGTATGGAAGTTTTAATCCTCTAAGTGAGAATGATGTCCTGGAACACCTGAAGAAGAAAGGCAACACTCACCTCAGCAACCGGTTAGTCTACAAAGACACACACACACCCAAACCCACACACCGCTTGATGGTTTATCTGAATCCCTCAATCACACATTAAAGTAGTAATTCATGTCACAGGTTGACAAGAATTAGGTAAAACATATAAGCCATAAACAATGATAATGAAGCTTTGTAAATAGGAGTTTGCTGGTTATGCGGGGCTTATATAACATAACTCTACTTTGGTGTTATTTACAGTTCATATGGAACCATTTATTATCTAGGCATGGCATGTTATTATGTTCTAATTTTTCCAAATCTAGCCAATATGGTTTTCAGATTATTCTATTGTTAAAACTCTCTTGGTAAGCACGGTTGTTAAAATTACACTAGCAGCTTTGTTTCTGTTCAAACCTTTAAAGAGCAACTTGCAGGTTAGACACACCAGTGAATAAATGTGTAGGAAAATGATATATACAGAAATATACACTACAGTGACATCTGGCGTCGTTTTTGTAAGACATTTTTACTTCCGCATAAAAAAAGCCTCCCCACGTGACCTCCCGCGTGTGACGTAACATGGGGTCTGAGCAGCCGGTCTAATGTATGAATAAACATGGATCACAATGCTAGTTTTGACACGGAAGAGGTTGAAAATATATATTCAAATGCATATGATTATAATTATGAGCCTGCTAGGCGTCCAAGAGACCAGGAGCAGCCAATGATTAGAAGAAATAACGGCCACCGGCGAGAAATTGAGCTTTGGTGTGTGGAGAACCAGTGGAGAACAGGGCAGCTGTCTTGGTGAGTGACCGGCGTTAGCTACAGACAGTTAATGTTAGCTAACGTCAGTCACATCACAACATTGTAAAGTTAGCTATCATATATCAGGCTATAACTAAAGTATTATTGATAATATAACGTTACTGGCAGGACTGTTGATACTGATCCATAACAGAAACTAATGCGCAAGTATCAGCCGTATCTCGCGTTACCTAATGCAACTCCACACTACTTTTTACGGTGCTGTGTACCGGAGAGGAGAGAGAGAGAGAGGAGCGAAGGGGGGAGAGAGATGTAATACGGTTTCCTGATAAACGTTTTGTTTGATAGGCCTCAGCTGTGGAGAGTATGTGCTGCAGGGAGGTGGATGCACCTCGCACAACGCACCCAGGAACGAAAGCTAGCTCCGGTCCTTTTCCTGTGAGGGAAACTGTGGACTCGATGTCCTGACGGGTTGCACAAACTCAAGCTCACCATGATTAAAAATGGTGAAATGCAATGTAAAATTACCGAAGAAATACCAGCTCACTAAATCACAACCACTCAAACCAACTACTAACTACTAACTACTACCGCGAATTTGGCAGAGATTGAGTCCGAGAAAGTTGCTCCCCCGTGTGACGTAATATGACGCGTTTGACGTTAAAAAAAAGAAGTTTTTAGTAGCCTCCTTTCCCTCTGAATTCCTGCCCTTATGTCTTGTAAAACATATAAAATCCTGCATTAACTTTTTTAATTGTAATTTTCAGGCAAGGTTAAGCATAAATGTAGTAAAAAAAAAAACCTGCAAGTTGCTCTTTAATCCTTCCTTTTTTAAGAAATGTTATTATTATGATCCTCATGGGAACTCTTTCCTTTTATGAAATGTCACTCTTTTCAAATGTCCTTGAGGGCATTAATGAAAAGGTCGTAGGTTTGTATAACATTTCTACTTCATTTGATCTTCTTGTTTTTGTTTCAGGAGCCTAGACATCAAAAGGGAGATGACTCGGTACAGGGCGGGGCTGGCCTCTGCTCCTATCGCAGGCTTCATGTTGTCGTATAACAAACACACCCTGGGCTTGGAGGACCTCAGCACACTGGAGGAACAAAACTGGCTCAATGACCAGGTAAACACAGATGAAGCATTGTACAGTGACATCAAATATCACACTTCTTCTAACTTCGAACGCGTTAGTCACTCTAAAACTCATATCCGGCAATGATAACAAGAAGTATAAAATATGTTTGTTTTAGTGAGGATCTTACATTGAAACTGTGTGTGTTTTGCTGTTTGCTCAGATCATTAACATGTATGGAGAAATCATCATGGAGGCAACACAACACAAGGTAAGTGAGGATGTGTTTGTTAGCTCAAAACAAAGAATATTTATATAAAAAGATATTTATATATAAATGTAAAATAAGTATGAGCCTGAGCACAATGTGTCCTTCTTTTAATTGTGAAATGTGTTTCAAGTAATTTATTTTTGTGTCTGTATCTCAGGTTCATTTTTTCAACAGCTTTTTCCACAAGCAGCTTGTTGCCAAGGGTTACGAGGGTGTGAAGAGATGGACTAAAAAAGTAAGGATGAAGATTCAACAGTTTCGCCATTTTCCAGTTGTTTTAAGAGTGGCTTCAAAAGCTGAAATTCACATTTTAACTTCTGATTTATTTGTAGTGCCTACTTTTAAACTTGGAATAAATGAAATCAAACCAGCAAACTAGTGCTCCACAGAAATGCTGAAGGACCTGTTTGTCCTGTAGTTTGACTTGTTCAAGTGTTGGCATTTGAAGAGCTCTAATTTGTATTTATATTCATTTGTGGGATTATTGCAGGTTGACCTGTTCTCCAAGTGGCTGCTGCTCTTCCCCATCCATTTAGAAATCCACTGGTCTCTCATTACGGTCACCATGGCAACCAAAACCATCAGCTACTACGACAGCCAAGGCATCGTCTTCAGACACACCACAGATGTGAGAGCTTCTGTGTTTGTGGATGGGTTGGAATTCATCGTTGTTTGTTTTTGGCCATTTTTTAACTCTTTTAACTGCAACATCCTGTTTTTCTCTGCTCGCATAAATTATTGATCCATAATTTCTTAGCTAGAGACTCTACACGACTAATGGTTGCTTTCTCAGTTTGAGCACATAGACAGAGTGGTTTCTTTGAAAATCCAGGTTTTTCGCCATAAAGCTGTAATAAAGCAGAACTTACTTTGATAATAAATTAGTAGATTCATTTGTGAAAGACAAATTACGGACCCCAAGCCATATCATTTTCAGGTTAAAATGTAGCTCGTTTTTTCACCATCTGCATGAAAGACTGAGAAGTGTTGATTTCTTGATGATACTATATCTGCTCTCTCTTTAAAATGCTGGCACATTACCGTCTTTATTATGGAAACTGAATTTATATTGCTGTTTGTTGAAAATGTTTGCTGCTGGGACAATCCATAATTGTGTTCTCTGTGTGTTTCACTATCAGAACATAATGAAGTACCTTCAGTCTGAAGCCAGAGAGAAGCAGCAGACAGCTTTCCAGAAAGGCTGGAAGATTACCATCATCAAGGTGACCTTGAACCCTGACTGTTCTGCTCACGCTGTGTTCACCTTGTGTCCTGGAAGCATTTATGTTGCCTGCCACAGTTGATGTTAGTCCAAAGCAAAAGGTGGAAGACTCTTTCTTTATAGAGTTGTGTCGATGCCTTTAGAGGAAAATGCCTCCATTGCAGCCTAAATGCACGATCGGTAGGAGTAAACACAAGTCTATGCAACGATCCAATATCACGTCTTCATAACATTTCTAAGATTAATAATGCTACATAGAAACAACATGTGTCACCGGCTACCCGATTCCTACAAAAATGGTATCAACAACATCTACTTGTATTTGCCAAATGATTAGGGTGAACCACAAAGTCAGCAATACCATTCAAATGATACTAAAGTATAAAAAGCATTCTGCTAAAAATAATTCCAGCATATAATAATTATATTCACATCTGCTGGGTTTATTCTTTTATTAAGTCATTTATTGAACAAACACAATGTCTAACCCTGAACATCACTTTTAGATACCTTGATGTAATTATTGTATGCATGCACAGTAGATTAGTACATATAGATCCATCAGCATTTCATTCTAGAAGAAGATGTAACTCTGACATGTTTGCTCCTGTTTGACTGTGACATTTTGACTCCTCAGGGCATTCCTCAGCAAAGAAACGACAGCGACTGTGGAGTCTTCGTCCTCGAGGTTAGGTCATTCCCGCTATTCAACTGTCCTTCGGTCCTTCGTTTATCACCGATCTATTTGATCTCTTTTCATCATGTTCTGTCCCTGTTTTCTCTCTATTTTCTGCTTTTATCTGTTTTTCTTCCTGGAACTATTTAAACAGAGCTGTGCTGAGTCTCTGAGAAGGGAAAGACACTGTCGGGAAGCGGCTGTCATTGTTTACGTTGGGCCTATTCAATTGGCCGACAGCGGGCCACAACCAGCCTGGAGGCAATTAGTGGAATAGCCCGACATAAATATGATATTTAAAAAATATATATAAACAACATAAAGTCTGTCTCTCTCTCACAAAAAACACACACAGTGCCGGCCACTCAGTCATTTTCTCTTCACCTGACAATTGTACTCCTACAAAGCACAAAGTCGGCAGTTTGCACATCCGGTTGAATTAGGTTGGTAATTGAACACATACTTTTGCCAATCTGGTGTTGTGGTTGGCTCTCACAACTAGATGGGTTGTTGTGGATTGTAGAAATCCTCACTTAGCACTTTAGGGGAGGGGGAGATACTAGTAGAGTGTTATTGCCACTTGTTATTCTTCTTTTCATTGATGGCATTGATAGCTCTTTTTCATCCTTACTGCACTTTGGGTTAGATTTTGACCAAAAAAACATTGCATATTTTAACTACATTTGTATTGTATCATTCATTACCAAAAGCTAGGTAGGCAGATAAACATGTCTGGCCCATCTACATTTCATGATTTTAAAATCGGTCTTTTCTCTGTGTTTTGCTCTGTCAGTACTGCCGCTGTCTCTCGGTGAGGCAGCCTCTGCTCTTCAGTCAGGAGGACATGCCGCGCATACGCAAGAGAATCCACAAGGAGCTGTGTGACTGTCGCCTTAACGATTGATCGAGTGATAGACAGTCTCCTTCACTCACTGGCTGCTCGCCTGGTCACATGGGACAATCTGTCCAAGTTTGTCTTTGACAGCCTGTTACATAACTGCTAACACAACCGACCTTCTGTACTCCAGGGAGCCCTGACTGACAGCTGACGGCTGCTCATTGGGACTCAAAGAGTTCAAAAACATTCTGTAGCTAAGCAGATTTTTACTTGCAAAGAACTACTGACGTGGCCCCCTACTGACCACCAGACATGCTGGACCTGTGCCCATCAGGTTGTTTTTATGTTTGACATTTTCCTTTCCTAGTTTCTTTTGGCAGTGGATTTCAACCGAATGCACCCTGCAGAGGACTGACTGAGGAGAGGCGTTGGACCAGCCCGGACCAACGGGGGCTTCCATCCCTAAAGGAGTGGCCTTTTCTCTCAGATGGCCATTTTAACCTGACTGACATTTTATGTTTTAGTTTCATGCTGGACTTTATGGCAGTACCATACTTACAGTTATGTGTTTTTTTTAACATGTTGAATTAAGTTAGGATGTTTTGATTCAGTGGACCAACCGTTCACTAAAAACTTGAAGGTTTAAGTTGGTTTCGTTACAGATATTTGCACGGTTAGAGGCCTATCCATTGAAGACTCTATAACACCAACTGAATGTACTGATCCTGTATTCTTCCTGGTTGCCTCAAAGGGTGGAGCTCCATACAGGCTAATAGCACATGTTGGCTTGATACAGGGATATCATTTTGCAAGGTTGTTTTCAGGTTTTTGGCACCGTACTAGTAATCATTTCTTATTCAATTCCAGTTTTTCCACAACATTATTTCTTGCGCTTATTCGTTTTGCTGTGATCAAGTTTTCTGCTGAAAGCATCGGTTTTACTTTTTAAATCCACCAGTTTTAGTTAACAACAGTTTCTCATGCTGGTTAGAAGAGCTGTACTGCTAGCTGCTGATGTTGACTTTATATTGCTGAGGCCTCCTGCTTCACATGGACACATTAACACAGGTTAAGTGTGTGTGAGTGGCCTCTTAACAGAGAAACAAGTGGACCTCAGTTATTTTAAATGTAATCTGTTCTTTTGTTATATTCAGTTATATTTGTTATGCGTATTTTCAGATTGTATTGTACTCTTACAGCTCTACTACTGTACATGCTTGCTTTGACTGAAACCCACGATTGTTTCTGGACTGTTTTTATTGTTCATATTAAATGGCAGATCCGGCTGGGAATTTTGTTGAAGATTTTCTCTTAAGTAGTTTTTGAATGAGATGAGCACTGGTAGGATTAACAAAATCACATGTATGCCTAAACATGGAACAGGATGGATAATATATTTTAAGCTTTACTCCTAGTGATGTTTGAGGCTTATTTTCCAAAAGAATGTCTCTAACCAAGTCCCATTCACGGATATCTACATTCATCCAGCAATGCCTGTTTCAAACGTTACTCTTTATCCGATCAGATGCTGTTGAAATCCAGCAGAGAAACGTCCTTGCCTAAAATAAGAAGAGAAATGTACTAAAATCTGTTATCAATAAATGCTTTTCACCCCGGTTTTCTTTGAGTTAGAGGCAGTGGTGACTTACAAGTTAAATTGATCCTTTAACCGCTGATTGTGTCGAGTGACTTACTAGATAATCTCATCACTGCAAGTCTTATCAAAATCTAAATGTAGCTTATCTTTCCCCCTGAGGGAAAAAAATCTATTGTCATTATAAAATCTCAGCTGTCGTTGATGAAAACCCCTGAAGCATCTATTTGATGAAAAATGATTAAAGATCCATGTACTTTTGCCAAATGATCTGCATTATTTCATAATTTCCAGAAGAGGGGGCTCTATCTGCAATTATCATCTTGCAATGGTCATAATGAAATTTTTTCTTCTTGGCTCCAATGCAGAACACAACGTCAGAAACATGTCAGTAGCCCTGCAGCTGGATTGAGGTTGAGTGTGTTGCTCGAAGGCACTTCAGCAGGAACACCTTGACCCCACTCAATAAGGTCTTCGAATCATTATGCCGGTCTCTGACCATTTTCACATAGTTTAATGTCACAATTAGCATCAAAAAAGCATGTAAATGACGTGGCCTTTACGTACAGCTTTATGCAAATTGTACTCCTTATATGAATGCAAGTTCCAGTTTAACATTACTGTACGTGCTCCATTATCTGAGTCTGTGGGAGCTTTTTGTTCACACACACAGCTAAATGACACAGGGCTGCCTGTTTTGCACTTGATTGTGTTCAGCCCTGTTAGAGTATTTTGATCCAGTCACTGTGGACGTTTTCCTTCACATGTGCATTCATACACAGAGATGGTGCATGTCAAATGTCCATTTAACTGCAACTGTACTATTAAGAGTACACAATGTTCAACTGAAATATTGTCACTTTCTAAATACTAGAATTTATGTAAGGTTTCACTTAAACTGAGGTTGATTAAATGACAACTGCTATATAGCCACACCACTAGCATAGCAGAACATAAATTGGGATTTCATCTTTAAATTATCCTTTGCCTTCCTGATTTTTAGCATCATTATTTAGGTTTGCTGTTCTGGTGTGAAGGCAGTTTGGACGTACCTCTACAGCAGGACTCTGTCTTCTCTTCCACTAAACCTAATTCAGCTTGACACGTGCAGCGCTGCTTTAGCTCTAATGTGGGGAAACTAACAGGATGAGCTGATAAGAGGCAGGAGAAACTGGTGTGTGTGTGTGTGTGTGTGTGTGTGTGTGTGTGTGTGTGTGTGTGTGTGTGTGTGTGTGTGTGTGTGTGTGTGTGTGTGTGTGTGTGTGTGTGTGTGTGTGTGTGTGTGTGTGTGTGTGTGTGTGTGTGTGTGTGTGTGTGTGTGTGTGTGTGTGTGTGTGTGTGTGTGTGTGTGTGTGTGTGTGTGTGTGTGTGTGTGTGTGTGTGTGTGTGATATTTGCTGGGATTAGTCTGATCTCATCTCCTGAATGGACTCCCTGTGAATCCTATCTATCACTAGACCACCTGCATCTTCGGTCTTTAAAAACTAAAATCACTTTCTGATGCTTTTTTAAATGTACGATTCAGCCTTCTTGTCCTAAGGGAATAGTTTGCATCAAGGGAAAAAACTATTTATTAAAGCATATACAACAACAAAATGTTTAAAACCTCCCACAAACATGTAAATAAAACCATCACTACTGATAAATAAAATCTCAAAAAGACACTGACATATCAGAATAGCTTTTATCATATTAAAGTTTCAAAAGCAAAATAACTAGTCAGAGGAAAGGGCTGAAGTGAAACGAGTCAACTGCTAAAGCCAGTTCTCGTTACATTAAAACATTTGTTCGGAAAGTCTCTGGCATGTTTTGCATTTGTTTTGGGCATCATGAATCTGTCAAACGTAAGTAGTTTCAGCAAGTACTGATGAGGACCATAAGTGCCATAGGAGCTTAATGAAGCATAGACAGGTAGACACACTTTAGTCTGTTGTCTTCATCATAAATGGAAACTATTTACCATTTGCTGTGATTTATATCCGTGCATTGAGAATCTTGAGCAAAGCCATTTGTAATCTGTTATCTGTGATTAAAAAGAGTTTCCAAAAAGAAACGTCAAATTAAGTTTGTTGTCATGTATGTAGAAAGCAGCAGAAACTTCTAAATTAAATGATTTGAGAAAATGTAATAGAAATATACCCTAAAATAAGAAGCACACATTGTTGTTTAAAAAACAGCAATGCATAAATAATACAGACAACATAATCTTATTACCGCTAGCTGCAGCAATTTGAGAACAATGAACTATTATTTGGTGTTTCTCTTCTAACAGAGGAGTATAATGTAAACATGTCGAGCCTCGTAGGGCTGCTTTGACAGGAGCTTCATTATCGCTATAACACATTCTGAATGCAGCAGCTTTTACTATCGGAACCAATCTGGTTTCCGTTTGCAGTCGGCCAAGAATTGACAATCATCACCCATTCAAAATGTGAAGATTAGTAACTAACAGACAGGCATTCAAAAGAGGTTTGAAAGGAGACTCATTGATAAATCCTGTTTCACAATTTTATTTAATAGAACAGTGAGAAAAAAGAAACATTAAAACATACATTTGCAGCGATGTACATGCAAGTCCATTTCAACTTCATACCTGGAAACTTCACACAAGTTCTAAACTCTGAGAGAAAAAATATCGACCCTAGATAAAATACATTTAGGTCATCTGGCAGCTGCTTCGAGGTAAAACCATCCAGTTAGATTATATTATTACCCCGATCGTGGAAACCTTTCATGCAAATCCTTTCATTTGAGCTTATTACTGCTGAATTTGGACTGAATCTTGTATACCTAAAGGTTTGAATTACCAGGTCTTCTTTGATGCAGCTGCTTTGGTCTTTGTGCCCAAAATTGTCTTGCTTTAAATTGGTTTCGAAACGTGCATTTCTATTCAGATCAAAAACTGCTTGTTTAGCAGTTGTCATACAGGCATTAATGGAGCCTTTTCATTGGATGAGTCTTCAAAGATGGAGCAGTCTGTACAGTAGCAGCCCTGCAGGACATCTTGACTTAAAACTGTTTTTTAGCAGAAGAGCAGATTTGTCTTTGGAGCCAAACTTATAAAGTTACTACCTTGGAATAGTACCACTTGTTTTTATAGTGATACTAATCGCTCGAGATTTCCTAATTTCATTGTTTAAGTACAACTTTTCTACAGTAAAGTTAGGGGCTAGCTAGCGAATGAAAGGATGAGTGGGATATTGTTAAGATGGAATGAATAGAGGGATTTATTTTGGTGAGATTGTGAGAAAGGTCAGGATAAAGCTTAGAAATCAAGGCGAGAAGAAGTATTTGGATCATAAAAGCTAATAGAATATGGTGAGCACTGAGGATCCAGATTAATGGATGAGAAATTAGATGGACGGTTTGGGAGATCTGAGATCTGAATTCAGCGCTGCAGGAGGGATGGAGTTATCACAGATATTAGTACGAAAGCTATGGATAAGGGAATTTGCAAGTAGTTATGTAAAACATGTATGAGACTGGAAGTTCAAGTCAGATACAGGTTGGTGAATATTCATATATGTTACAATAGGAAAGACAGTCCTGGGAATTGTGATACTGAAACAGATTGTAACTTTGGAAGATATCCAGGTATTAGGAATCTGCAACTTTCATATTAGTTTCAGATAAAGTTAAGGGTAATTCTTAAACAATGTGCACATTTAAGAAAAAACATTACTTTCGTCCAATAATAAGTATTACTAAAAAATGAATACACACATGAACTGCCTGTATGCCTCCACCAATGTAATTGCTTCTTCATTTCATCCTAAAACACATTTGTGGGAAATTGTAATTAGCATAAGAGTGCTTAAGTTATGGCCCACAACATGTTTTGTGCGGACACATTGACCTTGTCCTATGAACCTTAAATTAAATCAGGTTAAACTTGAGTCCAAGTGGATATTTGAGCTAAATGTGGGGAAGATTCCTCAAGCATTGCTGAGATAGCATTGAACTGCCCAAAGGCGTACAAATGAGATATTACTCATAAAGTAATCATATTACTAGTTAAATGTGAGAATACTCTTAGTGAGCGACTTGTAGATCATGGTCAGGGTGTTTTTGGCATTGAAGCACTCCATTTCCAGAGGAGTGAGCCGCTCATTTGACTTTCTTTTGATTTATTTTGCATTAGTCTGAAAGGTGAGTTTATTGTCAAATATTTTTAACTAAATATTATAAGTGAGTGTCCTGCTCCACTTCCTGCCCTGTCATAGTAACGGGCTGAAAGACGGGCCAAAGGAGATAAAACATCAGTGAGTTTAAGAGATGCTGGATGGTGTATTTTGTCACTGTTGGAAAGAGTCTTTGGGCGAAGCTGTCACTGAACTCCAGGAAGTGAATAAGCATATTTCCCAGAATGTTGTAATATCCTTTAAACAGAAAGACCTCATCTAGTCCTTCCAGCTGTTTCTCCATCACTCTTCCTCCACTATGTAATTTCCTACTTCATCCTTCAATCCGTGTCCCAATACTTTTGTCTATATAGTGTATGTGTATACAGTTTCGTGTGAATGTAGAATTCCTCTAGCTGGTGATCTCCTGTTTTTTAGATTTAGAATCTGACTTTGCTTTTGAGGATAATCAAAGTTATCAATACTTTATTTAATGTCCTTTTTTAAAAATCAATACACCTCCTGGGTCAACAGGTTAACTCACTCATTCAGTGAATCGTTCATTGATTCATTTGCTCGGTCACTCGTGTTATTCAGTTTTGTATTCAGTTGGTCAGGGTTAAACGGTCAGTAAACACCACACGGACTCAGCTTCTCCCTGCTGAATTCTGCTGTTGCCTGATTAACATTTATCACACTGAGTGCTGCTATTTTATATGGGTTACATTTCCTTAACTCCATTTGCAATCATTTTCGCACAAGCATCATACCAAATCAGCACGCTAATCTGAGCTGACTGCTCTGCAACAGATGGACATCTTAATCTTCCTCATCATCCCCTCCTCCAACAACACTTCCAACATCATGGCGCTTGTGCTGACAGCAGATTGATTCAGACATGCATCTCTGAGAAAAATATAAACACTGAAATTAGCTACTTAATTAAACAGTGCATGCAGCGAAGTGAACACTTGAACCTGTGTTTGGATCGTGTTGTTGCATGACAGATGAGGATAGACAATTACTGTAGCTTAATTAAAACAATAAAAGGGATGCCTCATTAATCAGTGTGGAAGTGATGTAATATTTAAAAAATAATCATAAAGTATTTCAATATCAAGGGCATTCAATATTTTTCTTTTTAAGTAACCTTGAATAATTATGTGTTTTCTGGGTCTTTTTCAGCAGATGTTTGATGTCAGGTTGATTGTTGATTGTGATGCTGATTCCCACAAACGGAAACTCTTCACTTGCTCCACTGATTAAGACCAGAGTGCGTCTTCACGTTCTTACTTCAAGAATCAATAATCAACTCCTTGATTTGGCTGATTGCGTATGTTGTACTTACGCAACCTCTCTTGGCTGATTCCTACCTTTAACCTTTATACTCCATCCTGTTAACCTGATTTTTGTTTAAATGTTGGATCTGCGCCTCATTGCTACTGTTGTCATAGATGCAATTATTCATATTTGCACCTTTTCCCATTTTCTTACATACAGACTTTTGTCCACCATTGTGACAGGTGGAAGTTGCCTTTCCTGTTACCGTTCCTCCCTTCCTCGTCACTATGACAGGGAGGCGTGTGGTGCAGTGGGTTGTGCGTTGGGATCAGGGGGTCACAGGTTCAAACCCCACTGCAGGCAGCATGTCATTGTGTCCCTGGGCAAGACACTTCACCCCAAATTGCTCCTGTGGGGATTGCCCACAGTATTGAGTATGTAAGTCGCTTTGGATAAAAGCGTCTAACAAGTGACATGTAATGTATGACGATTCCTTCTAGGGCAATCAAAACAAAGCTCAATGTCTTTGTCATCATTACCGTTGAGTGTTTCTCTTCACAGGTAGCTCTTTGTCTTGTCTAAAACAGAATGAGTCACATCAGTTATTGGTGAGTGGGTTTTCCCTCTACCGTTTAATTTGTTTTGTTGCCTCTCATTCAGAAGTGCACTCAGATGCGAACATGCTAATAAATGAGTCCATATTCAGCATTTGGGTTTACACACAGTACATACTCAAGTGTTTGCACTGTGCTTGTTAGGAACCTCATTTACATACAGTAATGCATGTTCTAACTTGAACCATAAAGGAGTAATTGAAAAAAGCGATCGTCACATCCAAACAAAGATATTTCAAAAGTTTCATCTTTGTCATCTTCATGATGAGAAGATGTTGCTGTCCCACTGGAGGCAGATGTAGATGCCCCACTGGAGGCAGATGTTGACACCCCACTGGAGGCAGATGTTGATGCCCCACTCAAGGTAGATATTGACGCCCCACTGGAGGTAGATGTTGATGCCCCACTCAAGGTAGATATTGACGCCCCACTGGAGGTAGATGTTGACTGAACTGCTATGACCAAAAAAGAAACAGGGAATATCATGTTACAAGGAATCTCTGGAGTGCGATGCACAGTATAATCAATTAAAAGTGGAATACTTAACTTACCATCATCAGCATTTGGAGGGTACCTTATCCTTTTCCGTTGCTACTGCTGGTGCCAGAAACTTAAGAAAGGATCCTGAGGATAGATTATAAAGTGAAACTTATAACAGTTACATGTTAACAATTCAAAATGCTTTCACTTTATATAATTAAAATGCCTCATATTCAGCTTTCGAATGTTGTTCTTGGGGATAGCTTCCACTATTCTTCATTGTTTACTATTTCCATTTCATTTGAAAGGGACAATGTAAGTGAACATGGTTCCAATACAGAGGATTGTGCTGGAGCCTGCACTATGGCTACAAAGGTTGAAATATACAGTTTTCAATATCATCATAAAACCACTAGGAGTAGCCTACACTACAGAGAAGTAAAATACAATAAAATACACTCAACACATAGCACATTAACTTAACAAGTTATTTAGAGTACACTTGTCCAAATGTCTTGCATCTAAATGTATAATTTAACATTCATAGCTTGACAGTTAGCTCAGTCGGACACATCAGTTAACTAGCCTACAGAAAAAGTTAGCTGATTTACCCCTCCAAATTACTCCATTACTGGTGTCCCATTAAACAACGGGTTAATGTAGAAATGGCAGAGACCATGTTTATTTCAGTAACAATGCCAAAAAGATTAATGAAGACGTGTTAATACTGTAATTACTAGTGTTTACGTTCTTTCAGCCGACTAGCTAAGCTAACACGTCAACGGCAACTGTAATTTCTAGCTTCTACGTTCTTTCAGCCAGCTAGCTAAGCTAATAGGTCAACGGCGTTGTACCGACCCGGCTGCGAACTCTAGTGATGGGAATTCCGGCTCTTCTTGGTGAGCCGGATTATTTGGCTCGGCTCACCAAGAAGAGCCGGCTCTTTCGGCTCCCAAACGGCTCTTCAGTTTACCACATATTATACCTTTTATAATTAAATCAAATGTAGCCTTGTTTTGACTAATGAATGATTTATATATATATATTTGTATACATATATCACTTAAATTATTCAATACATCCTTTGTACTGAAGTATTCAAAAGTAAAAATTACATGTTTAATATAAATGATTTGCTGTGGCCAAATGTTTTCATTGCATTTACAGACCCTTGTAACTCTCTGATATCACCCAGTGAATGCACTGACTTGCTTGTAGAACCACGCTACACAAAGCAGATAGCAACACAAGCAGGGCCGCCTTAATACACGGGCTGACCTGGGCTGAAGCCCAGGGGCCTACGGAGATCGGTGGCCTATCATGAGCCAATAAAAAAAAATATTCAAATATATACATATATTTTTTCCGGGTGTTTTTTAAAATTTTTAAATAAACAAAGTCTTGGCTTTCAGAATATGAAACTTTTATTTCCAAAATCACACAATAAATACATGTTTGAAGCTTGTAAAGGGAAGATGACAGCTCTCACTCGCCACCCTGCACTTCCACAGCGCCGCCCCCCCTCCCTCCGGCTGAAATTATGAATGTAAGGCGTATAGTAATCATAGATAACACGGCAGGGTCCGTTACAGTTTGTTTTCATCTGATTTCAATTAAACAAAGTCTTGGCTTTCAGAATATTAAACTTGTTTCGGCAAATTCAGATGATAAATACAACTTTGAAGCTTGTAACGGCATAAATACAAGCAGAGAACGGAGTAACTTGACGTCACAGCAGGCATAACAACAGCCGGTGTTTCTCGTGAGTGTTTTCCCCGGGAAACAAACACAATACACACAAACGCAAAATTACACAAACACACACACATATCCACACACACACACACACACACACACACACACTCGTGAGCTTCCCTCAGACCAGTAATCCAAACGCAAATATCTTCCCTCCATACTATTTTGATCATTTGCTCCGCTAATCAATCAGATCGATGGATTCCAGAGATCTTTCTCAAAAATGATGACTCCGAAACAGTCAGTGGGCACCACTTAACAGCCAATCAGAATGAGAATATGTTTCACATGTGACTTATTCAAATTGCGAGTGATTGAGTGACAGATGAAGGTTGTTTAGGAGAAAATGTCGGAGAAGAAAACGTTTGAGAGTGGCGCTCGGAAAAGGAAATTGTTGAGGGAAAAGGAGTTTCGAGACAAGCAGCTATTACAAAACATGCCAAAGCTTACAGGTTATTTTAAACCTGTAGGCCAGGATGAGGAGGAAGGACAGATGAGTTCTGTACCGAGCGGCAGCGGTGTCGGCCGCGGGGCCTTGGAGCCAAGTAGGCCGCCTGGTTCTGATAGCGATGGAGTATAGCTGGAGTAGCGGGAGAGGAAAAACAGACAGGAGGGACATTATCCGTTGGAGGAGATGGGAGAACGACGAGGACTTGCTACGTGGAGGGGAGCCAACGGCAACCGGACAGATACATGAGGGAGGCCCGATACGTCACTCATCTGGAGGAGAGGACCATGCGCGCGTAGAGCAGAGTGGAGAAGTGCGATCACAGAGCCTGCCGAGGCTATAAATGACTTTGATTTGTTGTTTAAATAGGGGGCCTACACAAACTATCAGCCCCAGGGCTGATGGCAGGTTAAGGCGGGCTTGAACACAAGTATAACAACTTAAGCATAGACATTTAAAAAAAAAAGGGGGCTACATGTATGGACATTTTAAAATTATATTTAAAGAAAAGGCCCTGACAAAACAGCAGGGTTCTATTTCAGTAACTATTAACTATAGAAAAAAAGACAGCAGCAGCTGACATCAAATATTTGCTGAGCCTAAGGATAATCATAAATAAATAACGTAGTGAAATAAATATATTGCAATACTCAAAACAGCAGCATCCAACAGTCTCTAATCCTTGGATATTACGTGTCACTGCATGCATGCACGGAGCAGCTGTAGCACGGAGATCATCATCATCATTCTGTCTTGTACTGTATTACTTAACAAACAAAAAACAAAAACGTCTCATTCGCGGGTGCGAGCCGGCTCTCGTCGTTCGCGACCGACACATCACAAGCGCACACTTGACTCGGTAATGTCACGATCAGCAGAGCAGATACTGTTCTGCTAGGTTAACTCATGTTATGTTAAACGTCAAAGTAAACAAAATAAATAATTTGATTCTAGTGGAAGTTACGTAATTCAAGTTTCTCTATCTCACAGTTAAGGTTAGACCAGGGTTAGACTAGCAACATTTAGTTATTTAGTATTTCATCGTTATCTACACAACTTACTTACCACTGTTTTTTTCTCTCATCTTCATATTTTTTCTTCTTCCTTTTTTCGCTTCCAGAAAGAAAATGTCTCTTCATTTTTCAGTGCCTTTCCTTGTCATCAGGATTATTTTGTAAACAATCATGCACGTGATTTGCGACACTGACCGGAGTGAGCCTGGATAAGGTGGAGCCCCATTAGGGAGGTCTATACTGTATGTCATTGCAAACGTTGCGCATTGCCCCACTCACTCAAATTCATGATGAACTGAATTTGATGAAGGCGTATGGCAATGTATGATTGTATTTTTTGTATAATTTGTTGTTCTGAATTTTGCATTAAAAAAAACCCACCACTGATGTCGTTTTAAAGATGTGTCACCGCTCGGGGCCCCTTACTGGTCTGGGGCCCCAAACAGTTGCCTGCCTTGCCTGTCCACAAGCGACGGCCCTGCACGGGACCCTGACCAAGCGTCACTCCTGGACGCTTAGGGATGTCATTTGTTCTGGGAATGTCATTTTCGAGCCTGAGACCTGAAAAACAGGGCCAGGGCTTAACAGGTTGAAGAAATATCCCACAGAGGGTTCTCTGCGGTGTAGAGACATTCATAGAGATAAACATATATGGACCTAAATACACCGACACTCTGCTGTAAATATTTCAGCAGTTTACTTCCCTGGGGTAGTCCCATAATGGACCCTACATACAGTCGTGCGTGTGTGTGTGTGTGTTTGATTTCTGTTAACATGTTGGAGAAGAACATGCTTCAAGTGTGTGGGTGCACACTTGGTTGTATCTATAGAAGCATGACTGTGAATGTGTGTTATTGGTTGCATGTAGTTGTGTGTTTCTGGTTCAAATTGGCAGATTTAGATTTTCTTGAACTGAAAAGAAAAAATAGAATTGCTCCTTGAGGTCAGGGAAAGATATTCTGATAACCTGATGTATGGAGGCAGGTTGTTAACCTGTTCCACTTTAATACTTGTGTGTGATTGTGTGCACCTGAACCTGACAACACGTTGTCCACTGACTGAAATTATACCCCTCTTTTTCCAGGAGGCTGTCTGCCTTTCTGATTGCACTAATCCAGTGGTTCTCAAACTTTTTCTGTCAGGCCCCCCCTTTGGAGGAAAAAAAAAGTCGGGCCCCCCCAACACAAATAGTCAGGCTCAGTGGCGGCGCCAGAGATTTATTTTGGGGGTGCGGTGGAGTAGCTTGACGTTTCATAGAGGGTGCTCAAACATTTAGGGTTTCCCATTAATGTACCGGTCGTTACAGTGGAATGTTCCACTGCAACAATCCCCAAGCATATACACAATGTACCCGCGACTGTTACAACGAAGGCTCGATATCAGCTCACGGCATATAAGCAGGGGTAAAGTGCTATTTTTATAGGTGGTGTGTGGACCTCACATAGGGGGGTCCGGGGGCAAGCTCCGCCGGGAACATTTTTAAATATTGAAGTTAAAAGCATCAATCTGGTGCACTTTGAGAGCAAAATGAAGAGATATGTATGAGGGGCCGTGTAGGCCAAAATTCAAACTCACCTCACACACACACTACTGAAAACATCTGGCCTTGCACACACACTACTGAAATACTCTCACATTCACTACTGAACACCTCACACACACACTACTGAACACATCTGGCCTTGCACACACACTACTGAAATACTCTCACATTCACTACTGAACACCTCACACACACACTACTGAAAATTAAGCCTCACACACACACTATTGAAATCCTCTCACATTCACTACTGAACACCTCACACACACTACTGAAAATTAAGCCTCACACATACACTACTGAAAACATCTGGCCTTGCACACACACTACTGAAATCCTCTCACATTCACTACTGAACACCTCACACACACAATACTGAAAATTAACCTCACACACACACTCCTGAAAAACATTTTACTGAAAGGTTCTCAGTAGGGAATGTGCATGTGTTTCACCTATGTGTGTGTGAGGGGATTCTTGCTGTAACGGAAGTCATTCTTGCTGTAACGGAAGTCATTCTAATGTAACGGAAGTCATCTGCTAGTGGTCTCTTTGCTAGCCCCGTTAGCTTCATTAGCTCCAGGCTGCTACTCGGATGTGTTTTTTGTGTTGATGCCTGGTGGAGTATTCTTCATTGAAATATCGCACTTATCTTATGGCTCTGCAGTTCAAACAGACCGTCTATGAATGCAGTTTATTCGGTAAGTGAAATTCAAGCACTTTATTTCTTACTTGTCTTTTTATTCAGCTAACAAGCGAGACGAAGCTACATCTGTGCTAACGATGCTATCCGTAGCATACAAGTTAAAACATAATGGAGAAGTGTAAAACATTAAGAAGGATTATACTGTAAAACATAAGGATTCTCGGTGAGGTTGGTAAAATAAGGTCATGCTTGTACATTAGTTAGTTTGCTAGTTAGGTAACTGTATGCATTGTTATTGTTAATTTAAAATAGCTATGCTCGACGATGCAGACAGCTAGCGTCACATTAGTGTTGAAGAGCAGAGTATGCGATTAACCCATAGATTAACCTCACTATAAGATCTGTGTATCTGAAAAATATGAATCTCACATTTCCAGTTGGTTCCAGAAATAACGTTGACGTAGATATTGCAATATGGGTTGTTGAGCTGGAGTTGATTGTTGA